CAAACCCTAGGTATCGGAGGCGAAAAAGGTGGATCGGAGCATCCCTAGTTGAACTAATTTTTTTCTGTTGCTTGTTTTGAATATTGCACGTGGACAGAGGCGTCACCAGATTTTTGCGTAGTTTAGAGTGACAAATGGTACCAGCGTACTTTGCGGTCAAAATGCAAAGCCGCTACGCAAAATGCGTACAGGTTGGCAGGTCTGATATCGGAGCAGCTTTCCAGCGGTGGAGAGAACTCAAGGAGCAGGAAGGCCTGTAATCAGATGTCGAGGTTGCTTTGTTTTTTCTTGATAGGTGAGGTATGTTGATGTTTACATTGAATTACCATAATAACACGCATCACTTTCACTTATTGACGACATCATACCCTCGGCCGGCAGATTTCTCCGTCGTCGCTGCCAGTGTTGTGTATGTACGTGTGGGGTGGAGTTTTCAAAAAATGTGCGCAGTCCTGTTGGGGTATGGGCGTGTCTGTTTTGGGGATTTCAAATGTCAACATCGTTTGGCAAAATTCGCTTAGTGCACCTTATACATACTCAAGATATGTTTTATTCAGCATATACATACGTATTGAAACTTTCTTTAAAATAAAATATCTCCCTTTGTATTGAACTTTGAGTGTCGTAACTTGCAGACGTTGTTTATGCTCTAACAGCAACATTACACACTAACTAAAGTTAAAAAAGTGAAATAATTAACCACCCCTTTAAGACCTCAATTTCTTTCTTCTGTTGGTCAAAAGAAATTATGAAGAATGTTGGTAGCCAAACTGCAGCCATTAACTTGTATACTATGGAAGTCAATGGCTAATGTCAACTGCTTCATTACACACATTCTTCAAAATATCTTCCCTCTTGAAGGCGAGTAAAAGACAGAATTGTCATTTTTGGGTGAACTACCCCTTTAAGACACTGACCTGTGGGTTTTCCTGATCCTGCATACACTGAACCAACATACGCTTGATCACTTCCAGATAATGCTGCTGCTGATTGCCAAAGATACCTGGGAAGTTCCTGTATGATGAAACGGGTCAGAAACAGAATTCAGAATGTACTTTTACAACAAACTTATCCTGAACCAGTTTTGGGGAAGCAACTGAAACTGCAGTTGCTAAAATGTAAAGTTTACGCACCAGAAAATGTGCAGTGCTGCTTCTCGGAGGTTGACGTCCTGAGAGTTGACCGAATCGAACAGGAACTTGAGGATCTCTGGCCACTGATTGTTTCCGTCATCATCTTGGAATAAAAACACAAGGCATTAGTTCACATTGACTCCATTCGGTGTGGCTGAACCGAAGTATGTGTTAACCAAGAGTTGACTAACCAATTAGATTGCGAGCAAGCTCCGCAGCAATATCGCAGACCTTCTTGCGGATGTTGGAGGAGCCTTCGGACTGGATTCCAGCGAGCAGCTCTGTCTTGATGGCCGTCTGCATGTCGATGGCCAGGCTGGGATAGACCTCCTCAAAAGACGAGGACAGCAGGCGCCGCAGCAGCACTGCTGCCATCTGCTTAACCTGTGGAGACACATTTGAGAGTTTTAGACACCATTTTTGCAGGGATGTGCTTTGGAAATAAAGCCGCAGGTTGAAATGTGGGACTTAAAAGTTCAAGGAAAACAGATGAACCGTTAGAGGGAAGTTTACAACTACAGGGCTGCCTGAGGAGACGCTGTTCCTGCACTACCACGAGGAATGAAAAAGGCTGAAGAAGAGAGAAAAAAGAAACTGCACGATTTCTTTTGAGAACCACCTAAAGTTACAAATAATGGTGCTGGTGATAGCGATCATGTGGTGAATGTTGATCCACCAGCCGAATAGAAAGCGTACAGTTTTCGGAGAGAGTGGTTGAAAGACTTCTAACGTTAGTGGCTCCGCTATGAAAATGGTTCTATGCACTGCATTCACTGTAAAGCCTGTGGGACGAAGTTTGCAGGTAACAGCGTTCGTCCCCGAATCTACACATTTCGTATGTAAAAAAGAATTGCAATGCTGAAAAAGCATTTTCAGTGACAATGTTTGGATTTGAAATCAAAATAATGGATAAATGTTGTTTTTGTATTTAAACAGCCACGGATCAGTAGCGGACTCCTGTGTGAAAGCTGCTTCCCCTCTCACAAGAGTCACCCAAGAGGGGAATTCCCCCCCATTTTCAAAAATGAAATTCAGGCCCTGAATAAATGTCTAAAAATCCTGATTGGAGAATCACTATAAACGGTTATAAATGATAAAAAGAAGGCTTTAAAAAGATCAGTATCGTTTAACCGTATCGGCAGATACTGCTTTCTGTGATCAGCCTCAAAAACCCTGATCGGAGCACCCCTAATTAAAACTTAACACAAACTGTCGGGACGGACCTTTATGCAAAAATGGAAATGCTCACGTGAATGTGACATTTATACATAAGGATATGACCGTAAACTGAAAGTTTTTGTGCTGAGGACACACACGCATCTGTCAAAGCGCCTGACAGGGCAAGCCATTACACTAATGCATTAGCTTAAAACTTAAAATAAAGAATTCTCATGTTTTGGGCAGCTTGGATCACAGGAACTCTCCTGCAGCATCTCATTCCGTTTCCTCCACTATTTTTCGATGCATTTAGTCCATAGAAATGCGCAATTCAGTGCTGAAGTTGGACGTGCACTGTGGGCAGACCCGACTAATCGATAATGAGAATCGCTGTCGATGATTTTCATAATCGATAATAATCAATTAGTTGTTGCAGCCCTAGTCTGAATAAGTTGCTGGTCTCATCTTGAGCAATCAGTGGTTTCTGAAACCAAATTCAACCCTAGCATAAACATAGGTCCAGTCTGAACAACACCAGAGTCTCCATTTAACGTTGCCCACTCGTGGTCAGCACAACGTTGCTACTTAACTACTAATAACATCGCGAAGACCACAAGACAATGGCACACCATCTGACTCTGAGAGAGCAGGTATGAGGCATAATGGATGGTGTAAACAAAAGACCTTTCTGCCATATATACGGTTTAAAGACAATGCATCTCTAAATGGATGCCTGAAAAAAAATATTACAGTGCAGATGACAGTAAACAGACTCCCATACCTCCTCTGCAGCGGATACATCGCGGATGGCCTGCAGTAAAAATGTGATCTTCGTCTGACCGGGGATGGTGTCATACGTTTCCTACAAGAGCAAATGAAGAAGTTAATGACTGGCATCACAGTTTATACATATAAATGGTTGCAAGTAGGGATGCTCTGATCAGGATTTTTGCAGCCGATACCAAGTACCGATTTCTTGTCATGGTGCTCGGCCGAAACCCATGCCGATTCTGATGTTTCAAGCTTATATATAGACTGTTTCATCGGGCGCACGTGCCTGGCCCGAAGTTAACTTCCGGTCTGTGTTTGTTTATCAGTCTGGCTATGGCGCTGGCTACAAACGCAGTTAAAGTTAAGGTGATGAGTAGACTGATGTTGGGCTCAGGTGGTTGTGCTGTGGAATGTGCTTCCCATACATTTATGTGTGGCGCTCGCCACAACATCAAAACTGACCGATTTTCCAAAAGGCTTCATTGAATAAACAGGAGCACGTACTGCACGTTTAAAAACCAAAACGAGGTGCGGGTGTTTTTATATCACTGCATTTCTAAAGGAAGACTATCTTTAGAAATGTAGCGAATCAGCTCAAAGAGGAAATATGAATTAATCATAACTAGTTATAATTAATCAGAAATATTTAGATCCGCTGTAAGCATTCATTTGACCTCTCAGTGTCAACTGTCTGTTAATTCTAAGAACGTTAATTTCCTGGTTAAGGGAAATAACTTTCTTACTGTACAATTCTACACAGAGCTTGTAGCATAAATCTGCATGATTAGGGACTCCAGTTATGAGCAAACAATGAACAACGTCAAGTGTGATACAAGTAAGACTTTATTAAATACATAAACACTTAAACTAGTCCAACATACTACATAAACACTTAAACTAGTCTAACATACACATACAGTTGGTATAGGAAAAGCTTAGGCAGTAAAAAGAGGAGAAATAAAAACATGAAGCTATGGTACCATTTGATATTCAGCAGATCTACAGCCTGAAGGAAACATCAGTTTCTTAGTTCAAACACACCTTTGTAAAAAGGTGCAAATGATACTTAATGTATCAATTAATAAGACTAAGTTTGATACTCGCACGTCTTGTCTGTCTGAAAGAGATTCCTGATGCAACCTGAAGGCTCAAGTTGATCTTTGCTGAAGTTGGTTAGTGAAAAAGAACCAGTTTGCGTCAGAGGATCTCGGTGAATGGAAAAGTCAAGGCCGAAGCCGGGCGCGAACTTAGGATTTCCTTAGGAGCCTTCTAGCTCACATCCTCATCTTCTCAGAATCTAACAGAACCGCAGACTGGACGCGGGGTCATTGATGTGAGGCCTTTAAGGCCCGACAAGATTCACGCCTCTCAGGATGAGCTTGTATATCACCGTTATTGAAAAAAAATATATCATGATACATATTGATATTGAATTATTGTCCAGCCCTAGATGACATGAACGAGTGGTTCCATTATAAGCCTGCATAAAACAGTATTCAATATAAAAGACAATATACAAGGACAGTAACAACATACACAATGACCTGAAGGATATGCGTGTTCATTCAAAGAAAGGTTTTCCTATTAATTAATTAGAGAACAGTCCATTTCTACTGGGCATTATGTGTCTTTCCTATGAGGAAATTGAGTGAGTTTCTCTGCCCACATTCCTTTGGGCAATGGCAACCAATGCTGATATCACTGGTTTTAAGGAACCAGAGGCCTGTTCTGCCCCTCTGAGGTGCCAGATGCATTTCGGGGAAAGGCCCATAGACCCTCGTAATTGGCCCCTTGGCCAGGTGAGGGGGTGCCAGATATAATTTGTTAAATACAGAAAAAGTTGTCTGATTGGTCCAAATGCTACAGAAAATTGTCAACGTAATTTTAATTTCATCTTGCATGTTACATGTCTGATAAAGCAACGTTTGTGAGCTCAGCGCTGCTTTGTGTACAGCCGTTACCGGGGAAACCTGTTTCTCCCGCTTTATAGCACCTCCTGCTGGCAGAGAATGAATTTGCATTTTCAGCAAGTCCGTCTGATTTATGCAGCAAACATATTTTGCTTTTCCTATATTCACGGGCGCTGCGGATAAAAATGCATTCTGATTATTTGCGGGTGGATAAAATAAATAATAAATGCAAATATTAACTACATTTTTTTTCATGAGGCAAACGATTTCATGTGTGTGTGTTCGTTCGCCCGAGTCGGAAAGTTGAAGTGACAGAAACTGTGACATTCCAGATAAAGTTTGAAAAGAGTAAAGCCTGTGTTAATGCTACTGAGTAGGTTAATATGGCCAAAAAATATATTGTTTTATAAATGATCAGCGTATTATGTTACCATTACCCCTTAAGGCTTCGACAAGGTTTTGTTCCGTCCTCCACGCTGTGACAGCTCACAAAACTCATTCTCTGCCAGCAGGAGGCGCTCTTGGAGTGGTAGAGATCGAGGTTTCCCCGATAACGGCTGTACACAAAGCAGCACTCCGCTCACAAATGCTGCTTTATTAGACATTACATGCTAGATTAAATTAAAATGACATCAAATTTTCTTGATGACAGTCGGTTTCCTTCAGAAATACAGTGATATAAAAACACCCGCACCGGGTTTCGATTTTGAAACGTGCAGTGCTCATGTTTATTCAAAGAAGCCAAAGCCTTTTGGAAAATCTGTTTGTGGCGGTCAGTTTTGATATTGTGGCAGGCGCAACAAATAAATCATTGTATGGGAAACACTTACGGTGCAATGGGAATGAGTAATCAAAACAAGGAAGTCACGCACACCTTTATTCTGGTGTTAACATCAAAGCTTTTGGAATCTTAAATGCAATCATTTCATAGGATTGTCAGACATAAGAGTGACATCACAGCTGATTTCCGGGGGCCATTTGGCCCTTGTCATGTGTGAGGGTATGAGGCAGTTTCCGCTGAGCATTAGCGGCAGGCTGTTCATGCATTGTCTTTGCTAAAGGAAAGTGCTGACTGAGCGATGAGACCCAATGACCCGTCCTGATCCACATGAGCTCAGGTTTGAACTACCCACAGATAAAGAAGCCCCTAACAAAAGACTAGTCTGAACACGTGCCAATGGGATCCCAGTCATCCATGCGAAAATGGGTTTATAAGTGCTTAGAGCAGGGATCCTCAAATCTGGCCCACGAGATCCACTTTCCTGCAGAGTTTAGCTCTAACCCTAATCAAACACACCTGAGCATGCTAATCAGTGTCTTCAGGATCATTAGAAAATCACAGGTAGCTGAGTTTGATCAGGGTTGGAGCTAAACTCTGCAGCGCATTGGCCCTCCAGGGCAAGATTTGAGGAACCCTGGCGTAGAGAAACTTAAAAGGTCTATGCTTTTGAAAGCATATCCCTGACCCAAATCCAAAGTGTTTCCATGACATGACCGTATGAATGGGCATCTTTTGTGATAAGCTCATCTCATCGCGTTTAGACGGGTGTAAAGTTACCGTTTAATGAGTGAAATACAAGACTCTTCACAATAGCGACGATAAAGAGTTTAAATATTCATTATTCTTCTAAGAAATGCGTTGCAAATGAGACACGTTTACATCTGAAACCCTCGCAGAACTGAAATATCGATTTAACGACCCATTTGAGCAGCTCAAGCCGATCTGAGCAACACCAGCGCCCGGTTAGCAGCGTCACAGCAACCGCGGCTCGAATAATGAGGCAAAAAACAGCAGAGCATACGTTAAAAGATTAAGTTAGAAAGAAAACTAATAAATAAGGCGTTTCTAAATCCGAGATGAAACACAAAAACGTATAAAACACCATGTTTTTAATGTTAGTTAGGCCACGTTGATACGCAACACACGACAGCAATGTCCGATTCACAAATGAATCATTCGTTTGAGTCGATTCCTTAAAATGATTCGGTCGAACTGAGGGTTTGGTTGACTTCGAAATACAATATTTTTCGTATTAACGTTACGTCTGCCAAATCTGCATATGACAGACAGTAAGATTAGTATGATTGTATGCTTTCCCGAATTCAGTCCTTGTAAATCACTTTAGTGTACAGGGAGTGAACTGAAGTGAGAATAGTCTTCCAACTTTTAACAGACTACTAAACATTAATATTGCTGAAACAATAACTATTTGATTCATATTTGTAAGTTAAGTACCTAGTCAATCTCAAATGAATCTTAAGTCGAACCAACTGTTTCGGGATAAAAAAAAAAGTAATTTTATCCAAGTAAAACAATTAATCAAAAGTGAATCAATATCATAAAATTTAAAGGTAAAGTGCCACACGGAGAACAACTTCGCATGCCGACTCAAAAGAATAGAGGAATTTGTTTCATGAATCGACTCTCTAGAATGATTCGAAGCCGCATAACAGCAGCGCGCGCTTCACACATGTGCTGGGCCAGAGCGAGGCTGAGCGGCCCGCGCTAAAACTGCGAACCAAGCACCAGTGTGTTAGATTTCCCGTCACACATCCACACAAGGCGGTCCCGACCCGACTTTCATACCTCGGATTGCTTCCTGACGGTGTTGTCAGGGCTCATCAGGTTGCTCAGTAAGAGGTAGAACTGCTGCTGCTCCGCCATCGCTGCTGGATTCAGGAAGAGAGACGAGCGAATGAGAGCCGGCAGGGGAAGCGACCTCTGACACCGGGCGGAATGAACGGAGAACCGTGATTGGCTCGTAACGCGCTGTCTCGGCACCACTGAGTGGCTAGCGCTTCTGAAGGAGATCAAATGATTGGTGCGTTGGGCTGTCAATCACCATGACGCACATATAATGCAGCTGCTGATCATCCCGTTGGCTGTAGAACGCGGGTAAAGTCGAAGTGGGCGGAGTCTAGACGAATGCAATAACGTCATTGCAAAGTAAGTGCGACCGTAAACGCGGGAAATTATCAGTCATTATTCAAAAATGTATTGTAGTTAAAAAAATATGGTAAATTAGAACAAGATAATTTGGGTTGGCCTTCATGAGTTCTTAACATTGAATTATGCTTAAGTATACAATTAGTTGTAAAACAACAGAAGCCGAGAACGCTGCACTGCTCTCTTCCATAGCCACCGGTGCTCTTTGGATAACTGGAGGTAAATACCAAATTGAAAAGATGAAATACTCAAAGGCGCTCCTACAGTAAAGATTAAAAGCCTTTAATTAACTGGGCTTAGTCATTAAAATGATTAAAAGTGGATCTACGTGTTTCGGCTACACAGCCTTCTTCAGGATACACATCAACTGTTCAAGCAAATCTTAAACAATTAATAAGCAATCATCAAAGACAGCTGGTTGATCAATGTTGGAGTAGCTGAGACTCTCCTCTTTGTACCAAACATAATATTACATTTAATTGAGAAAAAAATTAATTAAATCTAGAGAGAGAGAGATGTTTAATTCAGTTTTTTTCTAATGATTTACATTTTCATTTGTAATGATTTAAATTTTTTGTTGGATGTGTTGTTGGTGTTGGGGTGTGTGTGTATATCTATCTATCTATCTATCTATCTATCTATCTATATATATATATATATATATATATATATATATATATATATATATATTATACCAACACATCCAACAAAAATGTAAATCATTACAAAAAAGGTCAAAAAAACAAATTAATTTTTTAATTAAAGGGGTCATATGATGCGATTTCAAGTTTTCCTTTCTCTTTGGAGTGTTACAAGCTGATTGTACATAGATAAGATCCCTGAAGTTGCAAAGACTAAAGTCTCAAAACCAAAGAGATATTCTTTATCAAAGTTAAGACTCTGCCACGCCCCCCTAAAACGGCTCGTTCTAACACGCCCCCACATATCTACCTCACTATGTGGAAATATTAGCATAATGCCGCCCAAATGTTCACGCAAAGAAAGAAGGCGTGGTTTCAGTAACCGCAGTTAGTGTTGAAGCAGC